CTACTGCCTGGCCCAGTTGGAATTTTTAATCCATTTTGTTCTAAAGTAAAAATCACCTAGAGGAGTCTGACTTTCCCACTCACACTTCTCAGCAATAGGAAAAGCCATCTTGTGTGTGCTTCTGTCATTGGCCCCTCTGCATAGCCCAGCGCTGCAAAAAATGTCTCCAGGCCTCTTAAATTGGGAGCATAGCCCCCAGCCCCCAGGCCTGAGAGTTGTATTGGTCTGAACTCCAAATCCCAGCATGGGTCGGACTGAAGGGCTCGGCGGGTCGACCAAGCTACGCTCAGTGTCGCACCCCACAAGCCATACTCCTTGAGAATCAACTACCTCTGCTTTGTTGTGGATCTTCTCCACCAATCATGCTGGAACATCTGAGTTCACTGCCCACCTAGATGGATAACAAGGGGCAGAAGCTAGCTGAACAGATGTTTCAGGGGATTATTCTTTTTCTGCAATAGTTGGGTTTATCTATGGGTACGTGGCTGAACAGTTTGGGTGGACCGTCTACATAGTTATGGCCGGATTTGCTTTCTCGTGTTTGCTGACACTTCCTCCGTGGCCAATCTATCACTGGCATCCCCTGAAGTGGTTACCTGTTCAAGACTTAGGCACCGAAGACAAGAAATCAGGGGACAGAAAAGTTAAGAGACATGCTAAAAATAATAGATGCGAGCTTTCACGACTCAGCGCCCACTTTCGTTTCCTGTAAAATGAGCTGAAAGGCTTTCATAACCAAAACGTGAGCTGTGTCAAGATCCAGCTGTGCTTGTTTCATTTCTCATCCAGCTGATTTTAACTTAGAACTATTTTATTCCATCTCTTCATAATCTTGCCATGGAGAACAAGAATATAAATGTGCAATGCTTTTTTCAGGTATACATGATGAATAAAATCTCCTAACCGGTTTAAAAAAAAAATCCCAGCATGCCGGGTCCTGGAATCAGGACCCCTCCCATAGGGTATTAAAGATAGCTCCCAAAGGAGTATCAGGTGGTCTCTTTTCCTTCCTCCTGGTGGTCGGGAATCCCATTAAACCTGGATATTTTTTAATTCGGCTTGTTGTGATTTGGCTTGATTGGGATTTTTACGTCGGCAGAGAGCTCGCATTAGGAAAAATTCCTAACAAGTCCTCTCTCCTTTTCCCACCTGTGCGTCTGTCCTCCTCACTGCCTTTTTTTTTAAGAGTGTGTGTGACCACGCACATGCACGCGCACAGTTATGTAGGTCAGAGGAAGCAGTCTGAGCGGACTATTTTCTCTGGGAACCAAATTCAGTTCTCAGGCACTTGTGTAGCAAGTGTTTTACTGCTAAGCTGCCTCGCAAACTTTTTTTTTTTAGGTTCTTGGGATGGAATGAGGGGGTGGAGGTTCATGAATGTTGCATGAGCATTCTGTCTTGATGAACTTCAGGGTCACTTGTCTCATTCGGGGAAGATTCTTAGATTCATCTAGTCCTAATTCTCAATGCTCTGTCTCTCATTAGGTGGGCTGTGAAGCCATAGCATGGCCATGCAGAGATCATGTCCTGCTGCTGCCTCTGTGCTCGCGCAAGTCAGCAGCTCAGCAATGCATTTTATCCTCAGGTTCCTGCACGACCAGAGCAGCTCAGCTTTCAAGTTCTACCGAGAGAAGGTGCTGGAATTGTGCCCATCCATTTCCTTCCAGTCTACTGGTGAGGCGGGAAACTCAGTGCAGAGCCCCACAACTCGAAAGGAGGGTGAGGGTGAACCGGAAGAGGGGCGTTCCCAGCAGGAGGCTACACTGGAGGGCCCTGAGGTGCTGCCTGAGGAGGAGGAAGATGACGAGGAGGACGAGGAGGATGAGGCCGGAGAGGAGGCCTGTACCCTCAGACCACAGGCAAGAACTGCCAAGTGTCCAGGCTCCGAGGGCAGCTCCCCCACTGACAGCATCCCTGGAGAGGGGTCTAGGGAAGACCAGGCCGGCACCCCTGGCCTGTCACAGGCCTCCTCCGGCAGCTGCTTCCCCAGGAAGAGAATCAGCAGCAAGTCACTGAAAGTCGGCATGATTCCTGCCCCCAAGAGGGTGTGTCTCATCCAGGAGTCAAAGGGTGAGTGCCCCAGAGTCCTGTGAGGGAGGAGGTAGCATGCCCAGTGACCATTCCAGATGTGCCAGTAGCAGCCAGTCACCCTGCTTCCTCCTAACACCTGTTGGCCTTGTGTGTAAAGATGGATCCGAAGTGCCTGGCACAGTGCACAGGGTTTTTTGCTCTCAGGGCTTAGGATTTGAGTGTCTTTTTGGATTTTGTGGTTGATTTTCTTTGAGACAGAACATACGTGTGTGGCCTGTGCTGGTCTTAGCCAGTAATCCTCCTGCTCAGCTCCCACAAGGTTAGTCTGCAGGTGTGCTGCCACAACCAAGTTCTCCTTGGTGTCTAATGTTGGCAGGGAAGCCCAGCTAGGCCACGGCTGCAGGACCCTGAACCTATGCTTTGATTTGAAAGTATTTTTTACCATTGTGCACTGCCCTCCTAGGTGTTAGCACAAGACCCACATGTTCAGTAAGGGGAGCTTACAAAGGGCCCCTTCTCTTCTGCTGGACTCTGTCACCACTGGGCTCTGCTAGATGTCCATCCCACCCCTTCCCACCTTGAGACACACCTAGCTTCTGAGTCCCCAAAGGTTCCCATACCTGTAGTGAAGGTGGGAGGACTTCAGCCATTGGACCTTGCAGGCTCTGTGTAACCCTGTCACCTTACTGTCCTTGGATGTGCCTTATGTGTCCCTAGCACTGGTGGTGGATGGCCATTAGCCCAGCTGTGACCCTTGTGTCCTGTATCTTGGTGCATAGGGGAGCTGAACCATGCTTCTTGCTGAGAAGTACATCTATCTTACCTCAGATGCCTTATGCCTTGAGCATTAGTGAGACAGCTCTGCATTGTCTTCAGTGACTTCCATGATGAGCACTTGGTGCTCTCCTGAGTTGGAGTTCTCAACTGACAGTTAGGATTCCTGAAACTGGCCCTCTGGTGTCCTCTTGATGGAACTAGAAGAATGCAGTACTGATGTGACTTGCCTGCAACAAGAGGGTTCCTGTGGCCATATGAAATAGCCCAAGCAGTAGATCCTGTGCAGGCCAGCACTCTTATATCACAGCCATATGCAACCAGCTTAGCAGACATAGAATGTTGGAGAGCTGGAGGTGGGAAGGGATCCAGCAGCTGCCTGATGTGGGCTGTGTCTTCACCAGACAGCATTTCTTTCTGTCTCTAAGGACATGGGGCAAATGTTCAGTGTGAACAGCTCTCTCTTTTTGTCTTCCAGTCCATGAACCAGTTCGAATCGCCTATGACAGGCCTCGGGGTCGTCCCATAGCCAAAAAGAAGGTGTGTGTGACTGCATAGTGACACTCCCTAGCCCAGCAGGAGCAGGATCGGATTGGTGCACTTGGTGCTGCTTGTGATGAACCTTCAGACACTTTGCAGAGCTGGGAGTGGAGCATGCCCTGTGTCCCAGGTGTTCAGGCGGCTTGAGGCAGGATGGTTACTCATGTACAGGAGTTCCAGGCTGGCCCAGGCATCACAGCAAGCCCTATCCCCAAGACAACAGCCAGGCATGGACATGCCTGTGTCCCTGCCTTCAGGAGGCTGGGCTGGAGATGCCCTATTCAGCCGTACAATATAAACTATGCAGTACACAGGAGAGCAGTGATTGGTCCACTCACTGGAGAGGCCACTCATCCTCATGGGTCTCTTGCTCAATCATTCCTGCTGAGCCTTTGGCCTGGGCCTTGCCCTCCTCACAGGGTTTCCCTCACAGGCTCAGCACAGGGCAGCTGCATGCCACACCACTGCCAGGTGCCAGTTCTGACCCTGGGGTAAGGGATCTGGCCTCAAGAAGTCCCACCCCCAGGGATGTTACAGGGAAGCTGGAGGTGAGTGGGGCTCACCATCCCAGGCATCTGGGGTTAGGACAGCATTTGGGGATTCAGTGCATGCTAGAGCAGACTGGTCTACCCACCCGTGCCTCTTTCTCTTCAGAAACCCAAGGACCTGGAGTTTGCCCAGCAAAAACTGACAGACAAGAACCTGGGCTTCCAGATGCTGCAGAAGATGGGCTGGAAGGAAGGCCATGGCCTGGGCTCCCTTGGGAAGGGCATCCGTGAGCCCGTCAGCGTGTATGGCATGGCTGGGGGGACCCTTGGGTGCCTTGTGTTGGGGCTAAGCCACAGTGTACATACAGCTGGGTCGTTTGTTTTTAATTAGCTGCTCATTTGGGTGCACAGATGTGGCCAACTCCTTCCTCTGTAGATCTGGACAGCTTTTTGACCTGATGTTCATGGCCTTGGAATCTAAGCAGCATTTCTGGTAGTTATGGCACAGGTGTTTATAGAAGCCATTACAGGCTGCCAGGGTGGGGACACAGATCCTCAACTCTAGTTTGTATATCCAGCAGAGGGCATGTTCCTCAGTGCCAATACACCCCTGCATGACGCATCTTCTTGTGTCAGGCTGCAAACCCATGGAAGGCTCCAGTCAGGCCTGGCACTCATCTGTGACCCCAACTCTAGGGACGCTGAGGCAGGAAGGGGATTGTGAGTTCCAGGCCATGTTCGCATGAGCTAGTAGCTTTAGTTTTTTCTTTTTCTTTTCCACTGTGGCTTGTGACTTGTCTTTTCCTTGTTTGATTTTTGCTATGCTAGGGAGAGAGCCCTGGGCCTTACCATCCATGGCAAGCACTTTGTCACTGAGTGATGCCCCGGCCCTGTGACTGTTTCCTTTCTAGGTGTCTGTGTCCCATGACCCTGTGCACCCACCCTTGACTGTTGCCTCTTCTCTGCAGGGGGACTCTCTCAGAAGGAGAGGGTCTGGGAGCTGACGGGCCAGAGCAGAAAGAAGACACGTTTGACGTCTTCCGCCAACGCATGATGCAGATGTACAGACACAAGCGAGCCAGCAAATAGGTGCGTGCCAGGACCCACCCAGATCAGCACCTGATACCATCAGAAAGAGTCTGAGTGAGGCAAAGGGCTTTTCCTGCCTGTGCCCCTCTTCCTGTCCAGGCATGCAGAGGAGGAAACTTCCCTCTACAAAGGGGCTGCCTGCTGGTCCCAGGCTTCCCATTTCACCTCCAGTGCCTCTGCTGGGCTTTGAGCATGCTATCATGGGAGCAGGCCACCCTTGGCCTTGCCTGTTCTTGCTCAAGGTTTCTCTCAAAAATTGACAGTCCCTTGCAGGATCAAGCAGCCAGTACAGACTTGATGATTAATGACTTGCCCAGCCTACATATTCCTTCCTGTGGACCTCCAATGTTGTTCTTGTGAAGGCCTTAGGCCTACAGGCCTCATCCTTCCCACTCTTCCTCCCCCCCCCTTTTTAAACATTTACTGTGTGTGTATGTGAAGCAGGTGTGTTGAGGTGCCTGTGTGGAGGGCAGAGGACAACTTGTGAGTCAGTTCTCCTTCCACCATGTGGGACCCTGGGATTGAACTCGGCCTCAGGCTTGGCGTCAAGCTCCTTTATCCACTGAGCCCTGTCGCCAGCCCTCATTCTTGGTTCTTGACCTTCTCTCCCACAATGCTCCAAACTCAGTTCTGAACAGCCATTCTCTTCCTGACTAGATCAGAGCCAGTGGCGACAGAGATAAGCCTCGAAGCAGCCTTGCCCTTCCTGTACCCTGCCCCGGACGCCTGCAGCCTAAGCCTCGGTGTGTACTCGGCCAGCTCCACATCCCCGGGTCAGGTTCCACCAGGCCTTGCCACTGCACACTATAGCAACTGCTCTCAGGCACCCTTGCCTTCTAGCTTTTAACTCTGTCCTTCATCTTGTTCTTCTTTTGTACGTAGCTCCTCAGCCTTAGTGCCCAGGGCCTGGCTCCCCTGCAAGTTCTCCACACAGCCCTACCTTCCAGAGAGAGCCCTGCCTTCTGTCTCCAGAGCTTATCTGGGCTCTGATGGAGAGGGAGCTGTGTGGATTCTTGCTTTTGAGCAATGGTGTCTCAGCTCTGAGAGTTCTGCAGGCTGAGGCAGGGGGATTAGGGCAAATTAAAGTCTAGCCTCGCTGTGTAGCAGGACCCTGTCTTGGGAGACTTCTCAAAAAAATCTTAGCCTCAGATGAATTCAGCTTACATGCCCAGCACATGCTTGTCTCTGTTCCTGGGGAGTGTATCCTGAGGAAAACCCCAACCTGTGCACTGTTGGCCTTAGTGCAGCTCCCGTAAGGCAGTGCTGAGACACTGCTGTGCTGTCTTCGTAGATTCTTTCTGGGCCTCTGGAAGGATGAGGCACTGCTCAGCTGCAATGAATGACTGTCTCAGAGCCCTCCTTGTGCCCAGCACTGCCCATGTCTGCCACCCCTGATCTGTGCTGATGCTCTCGCTGGGGTCTAGCCTCTCACCACTGATCTGGTGTCAGGACTGAGCATAGCTGGAGGATCTTATGTCATAATGCTCAGCTTCTGTTGCCCCACTGTGCCCCTTCTTCGTAGCTGCTGCAGTCCCAGGCCCACCTGGCTCTCTTGTCTTGGCAACTCACAGGTCTTTGTAGCTATGAGGATGCTTCACTGCAGCTGGATCACAGTCTGACCGTGAGCCAGTCTATAGGGTGGGAGAAAACAGGTCAGGGACCCCAGGCTGCAGCTTCGTCCTCTTGTCTTTTCTTTCACTTTTCTAACAGCTTCCATATTGACTGTGGGTTGGAGCAGGACCCTGGCCCATGGTGGGCTCTGCAAGTGGAGCACACACAGCTTATCTCTCCAACTTCTCTCCAGGCATCTGCATTTTGTGCTGATCCATTGGGTTTTCAAGATGATTAAGGAATTGCGGGTATATTATGGCCCTTATATCAAGTCTCCTGTCACTCCTGGAACTGAGACTGTCAGGGACCACCTCCCGACCTGAGAAATGTCATTCTTGGGTTCTCTTCTGGGGACAGGGCAGCTGGTGGGGAGCGGGAGCACGTACCTCACACCAGTCTGTGCGAGCTGTCGTGACCCTCCTCACATACACCATGCTGTCCTCACTCTCCTAAGGCCACCTTGCTCTCCAGGCAGGCTGCTCTGAGGGCAGGGCTATGGAAGATACCTGATGCACATATTTGTGGCCTTATCCCTGTCACAATGTTTCTCCTGTCATTCTAGTTCCAGGGTCACTTCCACAAGGGCCATGGATTCCAAAAGCTGTGCTGGCCTGGCTTGCCGTGGCTCTGGCATGCTCCTGTTCCTGGAAGTACTTGGTGAAGGTTGGTTCTGGTCCCTGGTAAAACGCAAAAGAACGCTGATGATGTCACACTTGGACGTTGTTGTGTTTGTGAGGATCTAAGATGTCATGTCATGTCAAATGCTCAGAATAAATGAGGAGCAGACCCACTGCCCGGCCCGCCCTGCAATCACTGAGGCCCCTGCGGGGAGGCATTGACCATCTGAGGTCAGCCTGAGTTATGTCATACACTGTGTGGAAGAACAGAAAATGAGTTAGAAATAGTGGCTTATGTCTATAATCTCAGCACTAGGGAGACAGGCAGGAGGATATTCTGAGCCACAGAACAAAAACGTCCTGTGAGGAGGACATGAAAGGTGACAGTGCAGACCTAGGCCTGACAGGTAAAGGGCCTCTGTAGCGCTGATGACAGTTGTCTCCAGGACCAGCCCTCACAGACATTCCCAGGCGTGACAGCACACATCTCTAAGCCCTGACAGCAGTCTGTCAGCCGAGATTCAGTAACAAGTGTCCCTAGTTGTCTCCAGCCCTCGAGGTGAGTGCTTCCACCCTAATAACAGGCACCTCAGGCTTGATGACAGTCCAGGACCAATGAAACTACTCCTGGACTTTATGACATCTCCCCCAGGCCAGACAATGGCTGCTCCCCAGGCCCACTGTACTCTACAGGCCCTTATAAAATCCAGTCTCTGAGGGCCTGAGAGATGGCTCAGAGATTAAGAGCTTTGACTGCTCCTGTAGAGGAACCTGGGTCTGTTCCCAGTACTCACATGGGCAGCTCATAGCTCCAGTTTTAGGGATGTGACACCCTCATACAGACATAACATGCAAGCAAAATACCAATGGACAAAATAAGTAAAAAGGAATAAAAAGAAAAAATTAAACACTGAGCAGTGGTGGCACATGCCATTAATCCCAGTACTCGCAGGCAGAGGCAGATGGCTCTCTTGAGTTTGAGGTCAGCCTGGTCTGGAGAAGTGAGTTCCAGAACAGCCAGGGCTACATGGAGAAACCCTGTCTCAACAGCAGACTCTCTGGTAAAATAAAAATTAATATTTTCTTCAATAGGGAAGAACCAGGGCACAATCAAAATCAAAGCAAAACTGAACTCCAACTATGAACAACACCTTGTCCCGTGTCTGAGATCCACTCTTGATCTGGGCTCCTCCGAAGGACTTGGGTCACTTTTTCGACTCTGCCCTCTGCAGCACACAACTCATCTAGGCTTCAGCTGACTTTCGCTCCACAGCTGCTGGGCTCTTCTCTTGTAACTGTGCTACACTTGATCAATAGCTCTCATAGGGTTTCACAGTGCCAAACCTCAGCTGCTTTCCTTGTCTTCAGTACAACCTGGGTCTTACATCAAGTTCAAATGCATGGGTCCACCGTCAGCCACCTCTGGAACACAGCCTAAGTGTGCTATAGGGTAACACTTCTCAGAAGATTTCACCCCAACAATGTTAGTCTTTTTTTTTTTTTTTCAAGATGGTTTCACTGTGTAGCCCTTACTGTCCTGAAACTCACTATGTAGACCAACTGGCCTTGAACTCTCAGAGACCCTCCTTGTTCTGCCTCCCGAGTACTGGGATTGTGCCACCACCACACTGGCTGCTCTCAGTGTTCCTGTAGTCCACGCTCCTACAGAACAGTCCACAGAGCTGTCAATACTCAGTGGCTATAAAGGTTTATTTTCGGGTTAAGCCCATGAAACCTCTCAGGGTCCAGAAAGATTTGCTGTGGCTGGGAAAACTGGCTGGGGAGAGGGATCTGAGGGGTGGAGCGTGTTTATTCCTTGGGAAAGAAGGGAAGAAAAATGGAGGTCATTCTTCACAAAGCTTTCAGCTTATATAGGCATACAGAAAAGTTAGCAATTCCATGGGCAGTAACAAGAGAAGCATGCATTTTCAGAGGCACAGAAGCCAGAGGATCTGATAAAGAGGGCTTCATATCTCGGGGTGTGTGCCTGCAAAGGGCCTTGGGTAGCCATAATGACCTAAGGGTTGATTTGCATTAACATCTAGCTGGTTGAGTTAAAGGGAGTGTCTTTTGGGGACTTTGCTTTTGACTCCAGCAGGGTGCCCAGGTGAGAATTTTTCTCTCTGAAGCTAGTTTTTAGTGACTCACGCCTTTTTTCTGTCTAAACAGCTGATCTCCTAGGCTATGATCTTATGTTAACTGAAACTAAGGAGAAGGGTGATACAAAATATTAGTAGCTTGTTATGTCAGAGCGAAGGTCAATAGATCACAGCTACTTGAGTCTGCTGCTAGAGCAGACATGGGCCCCTTCTCATCAGTAAGTGCTGTCAATAAAGTTGTGGGGCCCTAGTTTTATGGCTTTGAGGATGAAGGTTTGACTTGAGTTCCACACCAGGGCTTCACTGTGTGGGGAAGGTATCCTGTTACCCTACAGGAAAAGTCAGGTTTAAGACTATAGAAGGGAGAAATGCCACGATTTCACAAGATTTTTACAGAATTGACAGTGACTTATTCAAAAGACAGGTGTTCCCACAGCTCTGCAAAATGGGTTACTCCATGTGGAGTGTCCTTACTCCTGTGGCTTGTCCAATAGACCTTAATGTGTATAATATTTGTGGGCTCACCACAAATGGTCTCAGTGACCTTTCCAGCTTCAAGTTCCAAAGTCCTCTCACAGTTCTCCCAAAAACATGGTCAGGTCTGTCACAGCAATGTCTGCTGCTGATGCCAACTTATCTAAGATTTCTATTGCTGATGAAACATGACCAAAAAGCAAGCTGGGGAGGAAGACTTCCACTTCCACAGCACTGTTCATCATCAGAGGAAATTAGGACAGGAACCCCTACACCCAAGGCAGGAACCTGGATTTAGAGGGCATAGAAGGGTGCTGCTTACTGACTTATTCCTTACAGCTTGCTCAGCCTGCTTTCTCACAGAACCCAGGACCATTAGGCCAGGGATGACACCACCCTTGGTAATGAGATGGGCCCTCCGCCATTGATCACTAAGAAAATGCCTTATAGGCCTGCCTGCACCCTCTTATGAAGATGTTTTTTTTTTTTTCATACAACACGAAAATGTTTTCTTAATTGATGTTCCTTCCTCTCAAATGACCCCAGCTTTTGTCAAATTGACATAGCTGTCCAGCACACCTGGAGACTTTGATTGTAGAGCTATTTAGTAGTGAAATGTGTTCATACAGGAGATTGCTCCTGTCGCTCAGCCTCCATAGTCTTGGGAGGCTGAGGATGTGTCTAAGCAATAGACTGAAACATGGAAAACAAAATCCAGATAGCAAGCTGTGTGTTCTGGCCATTTGTATGGTCATATCTGCTTGGGGCACTAAAGCAGGAGGGTCCCTTGACCTGGGAATCTTGGACCCTACACAGAGACCCCCCTATTCAACACAAGCCAGAATAGAGCAGGAAGCTCCCCTCCTCACATATCCGCAAAGTCAAATGACAGGCACATGAGCCCCAGCAACATAAAACAGCCAGCAGCTCCCAGGTGTTTCTTTAGGAATACTTGGCCTTGCCGGGCGGTGGTAGCACACACCTTTAATCCCAGCACTCGGGAGGCAGAGGCAGGCAGATCTCTGTAAGTTCGAGGCCAGCCTGGTCTACAAGAGCTAGTTCCAGGACAGGCTCCAAAGCAACAGAGAAACCCTGTCTCAAAACCTCTTCCACCACCCCTCCAAAAAAAAAGCAATACTTAGCCTTTGTGAAGCAGAACAGAGACCTGTCTCCTTCCAGGGATGCTCTGCATTCACAGCTACATGGAAAATAGGTTTAAGACAGTTTGCTCATTAAGTATGAGTCACTTTCACAGCCATTTTGTTGTCACTTGAAAATATTTTTTAATGGTGTTTATTGAAGTTGAAGAGATGGCTCAGTGGCCAAGAGCACTGACTGCTCTTTCAGAGACCAGGATTCAATTCCCAGCACCCACATGGCGGCTCACATCATCTCCAGTTCCAGGGACTCTTGACACCCTCTTCTGGCCTCAGTAGGCACTGTACAGACATACATGCAAGCAAAATACCCATACACATAAGGTCTTAATTAAAAATTGGTGTGTGTTGCCAGATGGTGGTGGCACACACCTTTAATACCAACACTTGTGAGGCAGGGGTAGGTGGATATCTGAGTTCAAGGCCAGCCTGGTCAACAAAGCAAGTTCCAGGGCAGAGAAATCCTATCTCAAAAATTAAAAAAAAAAAAAGCTGGTGTATATGTGTGGTGAGTGAATATGGCTGCATATGCCACCACCTCTTGTGAAGGCTGGGAAATCAGTTCTTTCCTTCTAGCCTGTAGGTTAGACTCAAGTCGTATCATTTAGCAGCAAGTGCCTTTATTCCCTGACCCGTCCTACTCGTCCTCACTTGTTTCCACTTAGGCTTTTTTTTATATATATTTAATTTTATGTGTGGATGTTTTGCTTACATGTGTGTATGAGCCATGTGCTTGCCTGGTTCCTGTGGAGACCAGAAGAGGGCATCAGATCTTGAACTATAGTTCCAGATGACTGAGTAACCATTGATTGCTGGGAATCGAATCCTGGTCTTCTGGAAGAGCAGCCAGTGCTCTTAACCACTGCTCCATCTCCCCAAACTCTTGGTTTTAGAGACAGATTTCATTGCACAGCTCTGCTGGCTTGGAAGTCTCTGTGTAGAACAGCACTAAACTCACAAAGATCTCTCTGCTTCTGCTCTATTCCTGAGTGCACATCATAGAATAAAAGTACACGTGTACACACACAGGTTATCAAGAAACATGCCGCTTGCCTCCATCCATTTGGTCCCACTTGCCAGGCCTTTAGAATAAAGTCCTCCAGTTCAAGGGCATCCTCCCTCGTGTCCAGTTCTATACCATCCTCCCTGGTGTCCAGTTCACAGCCCTCTACTGTCTGAAGTGAGGCATTGGGGGAGGGAATAGGTCAGCTGGAGCTACTTGCTCCCTCCTATAGTCCAGACAGTCCTACACTGATGCCACTGTTCTGTGGTCCAGGAACCAGCATCTGTCCTGATACTGGGTGGAGTATCAGGGACCACACTGCTGGTGGTCAGTGGAGAGACTGACTAACATTACAGAGTGACCCAGGACTGGGCTGCTCTTCTCTTCCATCTTGGGTCCACTGCCCTGCCAGCGGTCCACCGCATTTGCAGTCAGGGAAAC